TTTACTGCTTTGCAAATTCTGGGACCCTGCTGCTTTCTCCCCTTCTTGGAGATCCCCAGATGTCCCCTCTTTGGGGCCACCTCTGTGCTTGCTTGCCAAGCAGTCCTGTGACATTTGTGAGTGCAGCGTCCCCAGCAGTCTCACGTCAAAACCAGGATGGTGGGCTTCCCTGGTGGCGCAGTGGTTGAGAGGACCCAGGACCCATGCAGGGGACATGGGTTCGTGCCCCGGTCCGGGAAGATCCCACATGCCGCGGAGCGGCTGGAGCCGTGAGCCATGGCCGCTGAGCCTGCGCGTCCGGAGCCTGTGCTCCGCAACGCGAGAGGCCACAACAGTGAGAGGCCCGCGTACTGCAAAAAAAAAAAAAAAAAAAAAAAAAAAAAACAAAACAGGATGGTAAAGGTTCTTGGGACCTCTGTGTACACTAGTACCATAGTGAGCCCCGTCTCCCAGCCCTCCGTGATCATGAGGGCAGAATAAGGCTCCGTAAGACTTCACGGATTCACCAGAAATGAGTATTACAATTCGGTTTGGATGCCCCATTAACACTGAGGCATGGCAAGTTAAGGGGCATGGGTGTGTATCTATAAACCTTGCACTAAATAGACAACAGTAGTGTGTCTGTTTCTCTGTATCCGAGCACCCTGGGGAGGAGGGTAACCTACTGATGGGAAGCGCCATCCCTAAACGTGATGTTGGCTCTGAGTCCGGAGATGTCTCTTCTTCCAGGCTGACGGAGGAGCTCGCGGGGCCGCTTCGCTGCTTCTGCTCCTCTCTCGGCTCAGCCCGTAAACACCTTCGCAGGGACCATGCGGATGCCTTGCAGCCACAGGCAGAGCCACTGTCTTTAACCTTCTCACTGATGCGGCATCATTCGGAGACAAAGGAGCTGTTTCAGGCGAGCCCGGGATCAATCAGCGAGGCCGGACTCTGTGCCTCCCCGGGGAGCGCCTTGAATCTGGGCCACGGAGCAGAGTGTGCAAGCCTGGTTCCCGGCGAGAGGGAAAAGATGGGGTTTTGTTTGGGGTCCGAGAGGAGATAGAGTCGGCTGTGGAACCCTGAGAAACACAGGTGCTCCACTTGTGACCGTGACATCAAGGTTGAAAAAAGCTCTGCAATGATTTCATTCTGAATGAAGTCTTCCTTGCTGCCACGGGTCCCCAAAGGGCAAAATGTTATTTGTAAAGGTCAAAGTGAAAAGGTTACTTGGCTTTTAGAAAATGACTTTCACCAAGTTATTAATTAGTTATTAGTTAATTAATATGCTGCCTCATTCCAAGAAAGAATTTGCGGCAGTTTATAAAAATATGTGACAGGGGAAACTAATTTGGGGAAAATGAGGCAGGTGAAGTCAGCATATACTGATACATACCCTCAAATGCTTACTCTGTTTAGTGATGTTAGGAAGTCATGACGTGAGATAGGGTTTGCTTTCTCCACAGCAAAAAACAGAGGAAAAGAATAAAAAAAGAGTTTTACAATAAGCTATCAATCTATGTTAACTTTTATTTTAAAAAGGCACTCTTTTCAAGATGAACTATCAACTACATCTGACTTGAATGTATTTCCTAAACATCTTTGATATAATATCTAACCTCCAAGAAAATGTTCTGAAAAGAATTCACTACGCTATCTTTTGTTTTAAAAATGAAAATGCTAATCTTGAGTCCATTAGGATTTTACATTGGTGAAAAAGTGTTATGATATTCTTTGACAATTTTTAATGCTAGCAATTGGCATTTTACTTCCTGTGTTTACTTCCCATAAGATAATTTGACACTTTGCAAAATATAGATCACGTCTGCTTCTTCTCAGTAAGTCGCAGGAAATCAATAAGTGATATATGTTTTGCTGTTCCTTCTATTTTTTGTTTAGGTAGTCAAGGGGCAGGTAGTATAGAGAACTCAGTAAGGTTCCGTATCTTCAGGGGTGTATAAATTCATGCACAAAGCCACAAGTAGCTTAGTGGCGTGGCTCCCTCGTGCCACCTTTCTGGTCTCAGTTTCTCGTCTATTAAACCAGGGCATGGGATTTACTTGATCTCTGAGTTGCCTTCTAGTCATAAAATTCTGTGTTTTGAATTTTCTGTCGTCCTGAGGATCCATTAATGTAAGCATGATTTTTAAATGTCTAGTTATATTTCAATTGATACAGAACTTGCATGGAAAGGAGATTACAGGGCATGCTATTATCCAGTGTAAATCAATAAAATGAAAATGTATCCATTGACAACATTTGTATTTTCACCTATTACAGAGCCGTGCCATCTCTTTGAATACAATACACTTTTATGCCCCATTAAAGCATGCTTGACATAGCTTTCAACTACTTGCAAATGCTGAGAAGTTGAAAAACATAACATTTACAAAAGATACATCTGGTGCATATTTACATGACTTGGAATAAGGAATCATTTAAATACTGCTGAGCCATCTCCATATTAGGAGAAACGATATTCCACATCCATATGTGAAATCGGTAGTAAAATACATGTAGGTTTAAATTTCTCTTAGGCATTTTTTTTCTACTTTACACATGTTAGAAATATGGAAATATTGATTAGGGCTCAATTCATCTATTTGAGTTGTTGGGATTGCTTTCTCCCTGAATTTTAGAGATTACATCGTGAACTCTAGTTTCTATTCTAGAGGAGATAAGTTTTGAAAGGGGTTGAAAGTAGCACTTTCTACTTAGAAAACTTGCTTCTTCAGGTATAGGAGTTCTTAACCTGGGGACCATGGGCCCGGTAACATCCAGAGGCAGGCTTCAGAGGCTCTGTGACCCTCCTGAGTTTCTGTGCAAACACTGGTGTGTGTAGATATGCAGATCATCTTTTTTCCCCCTTTGGAAAAGACCTAACTTATATTTGTATCTCAAAGAGATATGGCCCTGGTGTAGTAGAAGACTTAGAATCATAAGAAATACTTGGGGTTACCCCTTACTAGCTGTTGGACCCACCATCTGTAGGCCTTACCTGTGAAGTAAAAGGATTGTACCAGATAATCTTAGATGCCCTTTCCAACACCAGCATTCTCCAGGCAGAAACTTACCTCCATCTACCTAAATGCTTCAGCCACTAGTGCCCTCGGCATCTGTTCTATCCTCTGCGTTCCTTTCTAGGTTGTAACTGTGGAGTTTCTGCATGAAGTCTAGGTGAGACTACGCTGAATAATATGCAGGGCTGCATACATAGCAAAGCTGGGGAAAAGAGCACACCTACAAATTGTACAGCTCTTCTAGAATGCCATGTGGTACAGCATATGAAATATAACTTGTACCCTGCAGCTCGCACACACACTTTAATTAATGTTATGGGCTGTGCTTTAAACTGAGAGAAGTGAGAAAATCAAGGTTAAGGATGCTCTGTTCTTTACTATGTAGAAGGAAAAAAGAGACAGCTATGTAAATGAAGGGTTTCTCATCTCCTTGTCAATTTCTTATCCGTTGTCAGTTTGAATGATTTCTAAATCAGAAGAATGCTGAAGATCTGATTTCCCATCAGTTTTGAGCCTAAGGAATTTGGAGCTGGAGTTCTGAGCCAGGAAATAGTCCTGTTTTGAATTCAGAGGCTCTACTGCTGAGCACGGATGCCAGGCTGATGATAAATTCCAAGAGGTTCAGCTTGATATTTCAACCCCAAGGTCAGAGAGAATTCCTTGGAGTTGGGCAAATGAAGAAAGTGAGTGTGGCCGGGGCGTCTCCAGCGGTCGCCCTGGGAGAGGAGCGTCTCACCAGGTTGTGGCGATGTGGTCAGCTAGGAGAGACGCACCTCTACCAAGTAGAATATTGTGGTAGTGGGCACCGCTGGCCTCAGGCAATATGGTAACTCTCAATTTCTATATATTTCACATGGCGTAGCTCCAACATCAAGAAGGCTTTCTAAAATTTTCACTTTATAGTTAGTGATTACGGTACCATGTAGACCCAACCTCCGAAGCTGATATGATCTATTGTGCAAAAATTCTTAATTTGACAGGTATTTGTTGGACAGATTCTCTCAGGTGTATTTATTTATTTTTGAGCCCTTAAGATGGATTATGACAGTGTGGGCTAACTCCACACGCATGCTGTACACCAGATTCCGAACTCAGAGGCTGGCACTCACCCCACCTTTCTTTACTCTCATTCCCCAGATATTTTTCTGTATTGCAGATTTATTAACAACTCATTCAATACAACAAGAGGTGATGACTTTTTCTGAGTTCAAACCCCCAAAAGAGACAATTTTTCCGGGGGGTGGTTTGAAAGGGTCCTCTATCGAGATGGCTGTGGTCATTAACTTCATATGAAGTCTGAAATATCACATACATTGTGATGTATCCTAATGACACTAGGAAATCTGGGCACCTTGGGATTTATTTACTATTAATTCGTCTTTCTAATGGTTGACAGAACTTTTCATGACCAATTGAAATGATAAAAAAAGGAGACATGATTAAGGATTGAAATATCACAGACAATATTTCGATGAGGAAATAGACAAAAATGTATTTTTTTCTAAAGGATCATAACCGTAATGTTCCAAAGCATTGTCAAAAGCAGAACTACATCCTGCACTGGATGTCTTCTGAAGCAATTGAGTTATGGCTCTGCCCCTTACCGTTGTTCACCTTGATGGAAAGATGCTTTGATTCAGCCTGCGTCCCAGGCAACCCCAGGGGGTGGGAGGTCCGAGTCAATTTGGGTAGTGATGTCATGTTTTCATCTCTGGAAGGAGGGAAAATAAAAGACTGCCAACGTTCGATGGCGTTTTGTCTACCTTGGAAGAGATCTGAGTGACCAAGTTTTGTCCCCTGGAGTTCCGTGTTCTGCCACAGGGAAGAGCAGCCACGTCGGGCTTTGCTAAATGACATTTGAGCTTTCTACCTTGGCATATTCTCATGGGAATACCTCTGAGCGCACGGATAAAGCAACCACAGTAAAACTGAAGGGCATGCTGTCGATGACATTAGCTGGTTTAGGTTAAGTATAACCCCGTCCATCAACAGTGTATCTGTTTATTCGTAGGCGTTAACACTATTTGAATTCCAAGAAGTGAAATAAAGTGTGTCTACAGCTCCTTAGAAGAAACTGCCTTAGAGGTTGAAAGGATCGTTACCTCCTTTCAACGGGAGATCCTGAAATGGAAGGTGACAGAGAATAAACGAACGAAAAAAGATCTCTGACACTCCCTGTGATGCACCTTATTCAGACTTTCCCAAGTCCCTTCCCTAAGTCCTGGGCGATCCTGCTGTACTTAAGTACCTACCTTATTTTGATTTGGAAACCTCATTTGTTTACAATGGTAATTTGGGGGTTGGATAGCATGATTCAGACTGGGGATGGAATTCCACCTTGGGGAGGTTATGCATTTGCACAGGTGAGAACTGAGATCCTCTGCTGGGGTTTCTAGTCTGGGGTCTGCCTAGAGAATGTTTTCTTCTGTCTCTTGAACCTTATTTCTGTATGTCTGTGAATTCCAGAGCAGTATTGCTAAGTAAATATGAGACAGGCACCAGGATGGGGAAAAATATCGTTGTTCAGCCACCTCACTTCTCTCCAGTGAAGGCACTGAGGCCAGAAATCTCTATGATTCTTCTCTAGGAGTTATTTACAAAACACCACCATGAGATTACAAAAATGACCAGGACAGTTTCCTAAACTATATTTTGCATTCTAGGATGGAAAGCATTATCATTTTAAATATAAAAATATTTCCTTTACTTACTAGTTGTTCTAAGAATACTATACATGGTCTTAAGTTTCCGCTTTTCCTCATGTTATCAACCAGGAAGGTTTTTCTGATGGAAAAGATGATTAAAAGAGATCAGGAGGTGTGCCTTTTAAAGGTATGATTCTTCATAAGAAAAGGCATGGGCTACTAAATTATCTAGATAAAGTGGCCTGGGCTATTAAGTTACCCCTTTAAATCTGGGAATTTATGGATGAACACTCACTATGCGATAGTGAAGATTCATGTTATAGGTCCAGAATTTAAGAAAAACCATTTTGCCGCTGATCTGCAGTGAGGAAGCACTGCAAATTAATTACTATTGAGGAAAGCACATCGTGTGTCTATATCCTTAAACAGCTGGCCTGTGTGGACTGAAATGAGTGATAATTCAGCTATAAGTTCCAGTTAAGTTGGTGAACCAGTTAACTCAGTAAACAAATTCCTTAGAGCTAAGTTAAAAAAATAAATTGGATGATTCAAGTAGATCAAAATCAAAGAATGCTATAAAGGAGTATGGATGTGCCTCCCCAAATGATGACTACCTTGTGATGCCATTTGCAAAGAAGCGAAGAAAGAGATTGCAAACACTTTTGTCAATTATTTGAGATGAACGTGTCCATTTTTGGGTACATAAAGTAGGAAAGTAAGTGGAGAAAAAGACTAGCTAAAAACCTGGAGGTTTACACTAAAAATCTTTTTTAGAAACCTGCATGTGTTTTGAATATTAAAAGGCTCTCCTTTCTCTTCTTTCGGTTATGCTTTTTTAAGTAGCTAATGGTTTTATCGGCATTCTTAACCTGAGTCAGATGATTTGGCCCTTGATGATGTTTCTAGTGCCTCTGACGTCTGTTTCAACTTGTTTTCTAAGGAGACAGTGAGTATATACTTTTATGCAGAAATAATTTCGGTCATTTCAAACCCCTCAGTTTTAGGTTTATTTATTTTTTTCCATTTTGCTCCTTGGATTTTCTTCCCTTTTGTCCTTACCCTCTTTTTAATATTTAAAATCAATCTCCCATGCCCACATTCGCTGTTTTTTGCTTTGCTCCGTGGTTGCCTTCTTTCCCAGTGATATTGCTGGATTTCTTCTGTGCCCCACCATCAAGTTTCCCTCTCAATGTCCCATAGGCATCTGTTGACCGCCCTTTATCCCTGCATCCTTATCTTTTCCTGTTCTCTTTGCTTTTATGGATATGGTATGCTGTCTTCTTCACATAGGTATTTCCCAAGCTATTAGAAATATCAAACCAGTCTGTGTTGACAGACAACTAGTTTTTGTAGTTTTCATTTAGTTTGTAGGTGGACTTCCTCCCTTTCTTTTCCACAGTTGCTCAGTCCTTTCCTCTTTCTTATGTGCACAGATCCTGTCTTTCTTCCTCACTTGCCTTGGTGAGTCCTTGGTTGTGGGCTGGTGGGCTTTGGTTCCACCGTGGAGATTTCTGCCAAGCCCACTTCACATGGGCCGTTTAGGACAGCCTCTCGTCGGCTAAATCGATGGTGCGTCCACACCCATCCTTTTGGAACAGACTTGGCTGGTCCCAGGAAGACACCCTAGGCGGGGCATCACAACGTGTACATGTTGAGTCAACAGACAGACAGTCAGGGTTCTGTCCGTGGCTCTCCCCTCGCCACTATTGGTGTCACCTTGGGTAAACACTGAATTCTCTGTGCCTCTCTGCATTCTTGAAGATAATAACACCCAACTCATAGGGTTTTTGTGTGAGTTGTGTACTCGCAGCATTTCCAGTGTATGCTAATTCCCTCTGTACTTAGAGGTTGCAGAAAACTTAAAGCCTGTAAGTTAGACACAGCAGACGCGCTAGATGTGATGGGAGAAATAATGCTGTGAATGTAGCACTTCTAGTGTTTCAAAGTATATTCATATCGTCCATTTCACTTCATCTTTACAATGACCCCGAGGGCTGCTGAGGACTCCGGTCCCCTCAACAGTGGCCCTCATGGGGCCACTGTTGCCATATGATTCACTTGGGAGGAAAGAAATGCCCACTAAAAAGCCACGTGGATATTATGAAGGTAATGGGGACAAAAAGGTCGTCCTGAGTGTAGAAAATTGGAGCCATTCAGCCTCATAGAAAAGAGGAGTTTTATGTTTCATTCCCAAGTTCAGAGAAAAGAAAACCTTTCCTTTTCTTTCCTCTTTGCTGTTGTTGGCAAGACTCTGTAAGACGGCAACTCACATAGAAGGCACACACTGGGCCAGATTTTCAAAGAGCCTCTATGCTTTGCATGTGTTAGATTTTTTCATGCAGAGCTGCAGCTCTGGGTGGTGGGGAAGTTTGTGGGGTGGAGGGGAGGGTGGGCACAGATGGCTTTTCACATGTGCCACCTCACTTTGAATGAGGAAATGTACTAATTTTGTGAGACTTAGTTTTCTTAAAAGCAGCGTTCCTTAAGAAGGCTTATATCCTGAGCAGTGCAGTCTTTAAATGAACAGTTCTGCAGATGAGACGCAATCTGGGTCTGTCTGGTGGACAGTGGTGCAAAGGTGCTTTATTGTTGGAAACAGAGCTCAGCTAAAGAGACTCCAAATTACCTTGCAGTCCATGTGGATTACGGTGACTTCCAATTGCTTGCAGGTCATGTTATACCTTTTTCCTGGGCACTTTTTGCTAGGATAGACCTTTTCTAGGGAACGATTAAATGCCTCACAGTTAGTGATTTGATAACAGAGCCTTGAGGATTTGGTTTAGTCTCAGAAACATGTAGGCTCCTTCTTTCCCACGTGACCACCAGTGACTTTAAACTCTCTTCCTTTGGCTCTTTGCTAGTTGTATCTGTTCAGATAGAGAAGGTTATGCTGTGGTAGAAAAAAACCCATCAAAATCTCAGTGGCTTTACAGCAAAAAGTCTGTTTCTTTTTTTAATTAAAAAAATTTTTTTATTGAAATATAGTACAATATTGTGTTAGTTTTAGGTGTATAGCAAAGCGATTCCGTTATTTAAATGTATATATATATATATATATATATATATATATATATGTATGTATGTATGTGTGTGTATTGCAAGTCTGTTTCTTGATTCCATTTCTTGTCCATTGTGGGCTGGAAGAGGTGTCCGCCAGCTGTAGACATTTAGGGACTCAGGGTGCTGGGGCCCTTCTCTGTACCTGGTCCCCCACGTGCCACAGCAGGGGGAAGGGGACCTGGTGAAGCTTGCCCTGGCTTCTACAGCTTCTGCCCAGAAGAGCCACCTGTCACTCCTCACATCTCATTGGTCAAAAAAGTCATGTGACCATGCCTGACTTCAAAGTAGTTGGGGCCATTCAATCCTACGCTGAGCGTAGAAGGAGGGGAAGAGAAATGTAAATAAACCGCCTCTGACGACCTCATCCTCGATTACACAAATCTACACAGGGAAGGGATTTCTCTATATTTATTGTAATTAGCACTGTCAGTGTGCATTTCTCTGCCCCAGACATTTTCGAGCCTTGCTAAAAAAGTGTCACGTGTCTCCACAACAGTCTCCAAGCATCGACTGTTCTGCATCCGTGGACTCTTATGATACTTTGGAATGCTTTCAGTAACAATGATTGGAATGAAAATAATAGTGAAGAATAAAAAGTCACTCACAGAGAGAAACACGCCTCTTAATCAGTTGCTCAAACTCCACTTCTTTGCTTTCTTTCGAAAGTGCCTTTCAAGTCTTTACCAAAGAACACCTTTGCGATCAGACTAATCAACAGTTGATGGGTGAGGAAGCTAAGACTCAGAGAAGATAGGTAGAGACCTTTCAAATCTCTGATATGTGAGTTCAAGTGTTTAATTCATTTTCTGGGATTTGACTAATCACCACCCCCCCTCACCACCACCATCCTTACCACCATCTCCATCACCACCACCACCCTCACCACCATCTCCATCACCACCATCACCATCACCACCATCTCCATCACCAGCATCACCCTCACCACGATCTCCATCATCGCCATCACCATCACCACCATCACCCTCACCGCCATCTCCATCACCACCACCACCCTCACCACCATCACCCTCACCACCATCACCATCACCACCACCACCCTCACCACCATCACTAGTACCACCATCTATCATTATAAACACACATTTGTGTGACCCATATAATGTTTCTCTTCACACCATCGTGGGAGCCATAACATTGGTAAGATTTTTAGTAATTTTGTTTTTTTTTTTTCCTACATATTGCCTAATCTAGGAATTAAAAGGTCATGGAAGAAAGTGACAACTCAGAACTGTCTTCAGGACTGAGTTTGGATTAAGCCTACCTGTTACCCTCTTCAATTTGCATTTTTTTTCTTTTCATTTTCTTCCTGTGGTACTTTCCTCCTTGAAACTTGAAAGAGAACCAGAGCTAAAAAATGACGTGCTCCATGGCCTCCAGGTCCCAGGAAAGGGCTGTATTACTGCAGCACTGACTTTAAGTCCTTTACCACAGACATCACTCAGAGATTAACAGAGTGCACAGGTGTGGGGAATTCCCTGGAGGTCCAGTGGTTAGGGCTCTGCCCTTCAATTGCCAGAGGACCTGGGTTTGATCCCTGGTCAAGGAACTAAGATCCCACAAGCCACGTGGGGTGCAGCCAAAAATAAATAAGTAAAGTGCACAGGTGTGGCTCGGATTTCCAAAGATGAGGCTATTTTTCCTGCCATACTCTGCCCAGCAGCCAGCAGGGGAAGCTAGAAGGACCAGTCCAAAGGAAAGTGGCACAATTACCCAGTGAATCAGAATGATTTAGCAGAATCACTGCAGTTGGAAGGTTTTACTTCATGAGTTTGCCTGTCTGCTCTGATTTGGGTGTGATGCTCTGGGCCTCTGGGAATAGTGTTCAGAGTGGGCTTTCTTTGGAGGTGATTCCATTGCCCACTGAGCCGAGGAGATGAACGTTCTGTCGTAGCCTCTGGCTTATGTGGGAAAGATGGCATCTTTGACCCTTGCCCGTGGCCTATGATTTGTGTCTTTAAACACCGTTGCTGGCTGAGGTAATGGTGGAGAGTAGAAGGAATCTGGCCCAAAGCTAAAGCCCTAGAGCTTTACCCGCCCCCACCTCCCACCCCCCAAATATTAACAAAACAAGGATGTTATTAAATTACCAATCCTGGCTCCAATTGAACATATGCCAAGAATTCCATGCTTCCACCTCACATAATACATTTTATTTTTCTTTTGGGGATTTGTTTTCTGAATCAGTTTACTTCTTTGTGGCCCAATAATCACCAAATGGAATTCTCTCCATCTTTCATCCTTCATCATTAGGAAAAAAACACAGTATCATTTTCTGGCAAGAAATAAATATCTCAAAATGAAAGACAATATTTAGTGACCAAAAAAAAAAAAGAATCCCTCAAGAGTACTATTTTTTTCTGATGAATCAGAACTGGAAGTGATTAAGGGCTCAGTACATTAAAACAATGAACACTCGTGTTCATTCCTCCATTTTCATAAGAAAATCAAACATCCTCTTTTATGTAAGTGGGGGGCTACTTAACAAATCTTTTAAGTGAGCCATAGACAAGTGCATTGGCATGGTTTGAGGAAATGCATAGAGGAAATTAAAAATGTTTATTTTATTGAACTAATATTCCCTGCTGGAGATTAAAGTAGCAAATCGAGCCCACAACTGTAAGACAGATACTATTCAGGAACTGAGTGTCTATTTATTTGGTCCCTAACTGTCAACTTGAACTTGAGTAGAAGTTTTAAATTGTACCTTACTAAATGCTTATGAGAGTGTTCCTTGAATATAAAATTGGGTTGTTTCAGATTGTATTTTCATAAAAATATACCTCGTCTGATTTTATTTGGATTGGTGGATTTTTAAAAAATGTGTTCGGAATTGAAATTCCTGAGAATCTTTAGGGTGACTAAAATTTTGGTATGGTATAGAGAATTATGACTTTAAGATCACGTATTTTGGTCATGCCAGTTTGGAAAGTTCCTTATGCCATTTTATAACGTATTTCATAAGGAAATATTTTTAAAGGCATTATTTAGAAATCAGGACTAGCTATTTTCATTTCCGGCTGCTACCTCTTAGCTGTTTGAATCAGAGCATACTAGTTAAACTCGGCTGTGGCCAGTTGGATCAACAGTATCTTTTGCATGGATGTACAACTATAGTTGTAGTACAACTTAATTTTTATTTTAGATTTATGAAGGAAAGGATATCTGGGATGAAGATGTAAGCACTGAGGCAGTCAGGGGGCAGGTAGTAGCTACCATATTTAAGTTCCGATGAGCAGTTACTATGTTCCAATCGACTAAAGAATTTTGTGTCCATTTTCACGTGGAGACACTTACTATTTTGAAGTAACTATAATTATCATCATTTTACAGGTGAGGAAACTGACAACTCAAAGAAGATACTAACTTTCCCACCCACCGCCACTCCTCCTAGCTGGCAGGTGGCGGAGCTGGGCTGCTCTCGAGAGGCCAGGTTGGTTTTCTCCCCTGGAGGCTGGGATGCTGTGGGGTTTCCCTTGCAGTGGGCAGAGACCTGGGTAAAGATGGTCTTCAAGCTCCTGGGGCAAAAGGTGATAAGTGCAAAATGCAAAGCTGGCTTCCCATCCTCTCTCCCTTCATAGAAATTTTCCTGTACAACGTCCATGCATCTTCAAGCAGGCTTTTCCATGGAAGAGCTCACGTGGGCACGCGTTCAATTCAAGTCCCAGTGTGCTTTCCCCCAGGGGCTCTTTCACAAGGTTACAAAGACTGGGAAACTTGCCCATGATTATTAATATTTAAAAAAAGTTATTCTGGCTTCTTTCAGGGCCGTATCAGTTTCAAAGATCGCTGTCAGGGTGCGAGCAACTGAAGTTGAAATGGCCGGAAAGCGGAAACTTTTCTTCAGAGTTGTACAGTTGGTGGAATATTCATAGAAGTGTAATGTGACACAGGATGCCGAGTCGGTGTCGAAACTTTGTTCCAAACCCTATTTGCTATTTGTAAAACTGGTCCCTCAGGGGCCAGCTACGGATAAGGTAAGGGGTGGGGGTGGGGGCTGGCTGCCGAGTGACTGAGACAGGGCTGCAGGAGGGGCTTCTGGCCACAGGAATTAGGGTTCTCGGGAGCCGGGAGAGATCTGGGGTCCAGCCTTTCCCACCCTGGGAGGACCACCTCTGCCTCAGGTAGGGACACCTTTCCTTCATGTTGCCACGTAAGTTTTGTGCCTGAGTTTGAAACGTGAACTTTGGAGGAATTGATACAGTATCATTGTGCAGTTTTGCTCGTGGGGAAGTGACACCATTCGCTTTTTCCTTGAAGGTCTCCTGGTCAGGATGTTGATTAAAAAATATCTGGCGCCATGGACCCTGATCAGTGTCATCTCCCGATGCTGAAAGTGTATTTTAAAACGAACCAAAGGTATCATCTACTGATGACCCAAATTTCCTTTCAAGAATTAACAAATCTCTCGTTTTTTTTTTTTTTTTTCCCCTAGGAGCTCTGTGCATCTGTAGTTAATCTAAGAATTAACATTTAGCAAATTACTGCCTCAGTGCCTTAAATGAGGTATGTGTCTGGTGGCTCTGTTGATTAGAGCCCCGTGCTAATGAGGTCACGAGTTCAGTCCCCAGGAGGGCTGGTTCACTTCTCCATGGTCCCCCTCCGGACCCTGGCCACACCTCCAGAGGAACACTGGTCACAAGTGGCCTTCTGGGGAAGAATCAACACAAATTCTTCACGATTTGTGGGAAAAGACAACTCAAAGCAGATGCCTTGAGTTAACCTGGAATATGGCAGTGATCCCATGGGGTGACTAAATGGTACCCTAGGAAGCTGCAAAGACGTTCTACAGACTATGCCAGTGCTATGATTCCTGGGGTGGCTTCCGTGCTGGGAAAGCTGGCTTTGATGTGTGTGTGGGACTCTGCCCTGCAAGGAAAGGGGAGTGTTTTCTAGAAACAGTGAGAGGTGGGATGCCTCTTCAAGAGGCAGAGTCAGGGGGATGCTTTAGGGGAATTTGGTTGCATTTTCATTGATCACTTATTCAAAAGATGGATCATTTGGGGCCTGCCAATTAGTGTCTGTCCTCATGCACCCCCTGGGACCACTTTTCCTGTGGTCAGGCCACGCCACCGACTTGTCTCAAGCTGGCAGTAGACCCAGGAGTGAAGAGCTTTCAAGGCATGGGGGATTCTCACACTCATGCATTCTCTCCATTTTTCACTCCCAGAAACCACTTTTTCAGGTCCAGGTTCAGTTCTGAAGCTAAATCTCAGCCAAGCATGACTGGATGCATTGGTATCCTCTGAGGTCGTTTCTTGGGTTTAGGGAAGGATAATGCCTAGCGACCTCCAGCTCTGCCTAGTGACAACCCTGGTTGAAACCAGCACCCTCGCTGGCTTCCTCCTATTTACCAAGAATACATTCTCCACCTCTCTTTTAAAACAATTTTTAAAAATAATTTTAATTACTAGCAAGATGCTTTGTATATAGTAGGAGTTCAGTAAATATTTGTCAGATGAATGAGTGAGTGGATGAAAGAATCAAATGTAGAATTGATTCCATTTAGAAGAAGGCAGTGTTTTTAATTTTATCATTTTCTTGCTTTTCTCTTTACAAAATTCTATGTGTTTATTAAAAATAATTCAGAAAATAGAGATGAGCAGAACTTAAGAAAATAAAAATCATCACCCATAATGCCATCACTTGGAGATAGCCTTTCTTGACATTTTGGGGTGTGTTATATTTATATCTATCTGCATATCTATTATATATATGGGACTCAGACAATGTGTATTATTGTGTAATTTTTTAAAACTTATATCCAGAATCTTTGCATGATATTAAATATTCTTCTGTGTTATTATTTTAATTTTTTCAGACCATTTTATTCTATGACTTGACTTCAACTTAGCCACCTATTAAAACACCCCTGTAGCTTAAACTTTCTACATAGCTTTATTTCCTTGGGATAAATTCCTACAAGAGGAATTGCATGGTTCCATGGTTTTCTAATTCACTATATGTTGGCAAGTTATCGGTTAGAGCAGTGCCACCAATACGTACTCCTACCTGCGATCGGTTAGTGTCCGGCCACACTCCTCCTTTGTTGAACAGTGTGTTGTCATTCTTATATTTGCTAATCCATAGGCAAAAAGTATATCCAAGTTCTTCTACTTTGCATTTCTTTCTTTAAAATTTATGTTTTTTTTTACTCTATTGCACTCTTTTATATTTTAAAAATTAATTAACAATTAAAAAAATTTTTTTGGCTGCATCGGGTCTTCATTGCTACACGTCGGCTTTCTCTAGTTGCGGTGAGCAGGGGCTACTCTTTGTTGTGGTGCACGGGCTTCTCATTGTGGTGGCTTCTCTTGCTGTGGAGCACAGGCTTTAGGTGCGTGGGCTTCAGTAGTTGCAGCACACGGGCTCTAGAGCATGCAGGCTTCAGTAGTTGTGGTGCACTGGCTCAGTAGTTGTGGCTCGTGAGCTCTAGAGTGCAGGCTCAGTAGTTGTGGTGCACAGGCTTAGTTGCTCCGCAGCATGTGGGGTCTTCCAGGACCAGGGATCAAACCTGTGTCCCCTGCGTTGGAAGGCGGATTCTTAACCACTGTGCCACCAGGGAAGTCCCTAATTTTTCCAGTAGGTCCTTGTTGGTTATGTATTTTAAATATAGCAGTGTGTACATGTCAATCCCAACTCCCATAGTGAAACTGAATACTTTTTCATGTGGCCATTTTAACATCTTCTTTGCAAATTGCCTGTTAATGTTTTTGAAAACCCACATATTTGGGGGGCCAATATACGTACCCCTCTCTACTTCATGGACTATTGTAAGAATTAGTTGAAATAACCTATTTGAATATGTTTGAACAGCAATACACAAATGTGTTGACCACGTTTATGACCTGTAGGGTGAGGGTCAGAAGGAATGGCCATCTGGAGACAAACAGGCTGAGTCAGTGGTACCCATGGAAGGCTTGGGCAGCTCTGCCTGATGACGTACGGGGAGAGGCACCTGTGAGAAAGGGAAAGGGGCCTTGACCTAGAGATTTGTTGCTGAGAGAAGGCCACCGGAAATAGACAAGGTCAGTGAATACAGGGGCTGGCAGCTCAAAATGTTGTTTCAGTTGTTACAACTAGTATAGGGTCCTTCTCTAATTTGAAAATGATCCGATAAAGAAAAAAACAATTAAGACACTCCACCCTGCAGCAGGTCTGGGCTGTCATGGGTGCCCGTGCTGACTTGGACAGAGCAGCCCCAGGGAGCCCTTGAGAGTCATACCTGGACCCTGCAGGACGCCGAGCTCACGGCCATCTCGCACTCAGATGATGGGGAAGCCGTGCCTCCTTGGCAAGCAGGACCTTGTGAACAGGTAAGACATTTCCCTGGCTGGAAGTAAACACAGGTTGTCCTTCCAGATCCAGTGTGCATCACTGGCTGGCAGGGAGAAGGCAGGGCTTAAGGGCAGTGGGAAGAACTTGAGTTTGTGCAGGAGGAGAAATGAGAGCTTTTCTTCTTCAGTTCAAGGGTTGCCACTGTAGCTGATTATGCAAAGTATCTGACGGGGGTTTTATGTTATTTTACACCAGGTAGAGCTGCTTTGAGGCAGCACTGTTTCCTAGGACAGGGACTGTGCTAGGGCCTGGGGACAAAGTTGGGGACAGATTGTGCTAATCTCTGGCTTTCCGGAGTCTCAGCTGGGTTGGGGACGTGGACGGTACACGAGGGACCAAGCAAACAGGGAGAGTGTGGTCCATGGCAATGATGCTCCAAAGGAAATGGAAATGGGCAAGGATAAGGGCTGGGCCATTTTGGATTTGGAGGCAATGCAAGGTCTTTCTGGGGAGAGCACATTTAAACCAAATTAAGAATGAGGAGACGGGCCAGCAGGTGAAGAAAGGCAGACCCAGGAGGGAGGAGGCATCTCAGCAGTTCCACAGAGTGACAGCAGAGCAGTGAGCTGGTCAGGATGAGGTCTGAGAGGCCAGCAGGCATCAGATCACACCTGGCTTCATTCGTGCTTCATGTTTAGAAGTTTGATTTTACCCTAAGCGCAAAGGCAAGGTAAAGAGTGCTTAGAAATCCAACATCATAACGCCTTGCTGAAGCCTCAACTCAGCGTGTGTAAAGATTTGTTGAGTGAGCTCAAAATAAATAAACAAATTGATGTTCTGTGCTTGGAAAACATCCTGTTTTATTTTATTCTATTTTTAAACTTTGGTTTTGGCTTCTATTACATGAAAAATCACTCCCATTTAGATTTATTTTTGTTAAAAGGCCAAGCTTACAGGGATGAGAATAAAACGTCTGATGCTGAGAAACGTGCCTGAAATGAAAGGAAAGGTTGATGAGGCAGATCTCCACAGCCTTGATCATGTGGAGCGCTTTCAGAAACCATCACCCATTGTGCAGGTGAGAAGGCAGCTCAGAGACGTGAAGAAAGGTTTGGCAAGGCCACATCCTTGTGTGAGGTCCCGGGAACGTGTGTCTCTGCTCTGGTGAACTTTCCGTGAGCCCAGGGCAAATGGTGGCCACCATGGCCTCATGGAGTTGCTTGGGCTCCTTTCTGTGGCCTCTGGGACTCTTGCTGTAGGAGTTTGTAGAAACAGGAAGGATATAGGATGGTCATGGGGGTTCTCATTACTCCGTGGGGCACTGGAGGCCCGTGTCTGCTCATCAGGTAGACTAGAGACTCGGCCCCCTAACCTCCCTTTCTGACCACCGAGTGTCCACCTCTGAGACCTAATCAGGGCTCCCACATCTTGAGGTTGGCGAGGCGCCCAAGGAGATCAGTGGAATTCCACCTTTCTCCTCCCATCCCAACACTTAAAAATATGGGCTGTGATGATTTTGGACGTGCCACCTCTACACGTTGGATCCCCTGTCCTCCTGGAGCCCTTGCCGGTCCTCCTCGTCTTCCTTGAACTTGTCTCCAAGGGAGTCTGCTGTGATCACTAACATCACCCCTATTATCTGAGGTCCACTGAGGTGTGTCAGGGCTTTGGGACAAACACGTGGCACTCAGCCCAGCTACTGTAGATCTGCAGCCACCTTGGGTTTCGCCTTTCCTGGCCGGATCCTACTGGGAACTCTTTGGGGCAAAACATTTCTTTTGCAATTTAATTGTCAGCGGGTGGGATACAGTATTCCCTGCCTGAGCTTGAATTGAAGGAACCCCTAATCTTCGAGTTCCAGCTCTTGAGAAGAATGGCAGCTGCTGGAAGATGTGAACTTGACATTTGAAATTGGCTGACACCTGGGAGTTAGTGTGAGGTAGAAAAACAAACAAGGGCTGTGGGGTTGGGTAGATGTAGGTTCCAGACCAGCTCTGCGCTTCCTGTCGTGCGGCTCCAGAGTAACAACTTGTACGATCTCTGTGAGGCCTATTTTTCCATCTTTAGAATGGGGGTAGTATAGTCTACCGCATAATATTTCGGTGAGGATGAAAAGAAGAGAATGAAAATATCTGTCACACAAGACATGCTTAAGAGACATTAGCTCTTATGTTCCTTTGCCCTCAATAATGTCATGACTCCTTCCAAAAACAGAAATCCTTCAGGATAGAATCCTACCCATTTTTTGGCTGATGGGACATCCGAAAGGACATAGGTGCCTTTGTTTGGTTTGTGGTAAGTTGACTTTGCACTTTAAAAGGGAAAAAAGGGAAATGTGTAGTCCCTCAAACAATGACCCCTTTTAAAGCCTACGTTGGACTCCGATTTCAAAGAATATTCTTATTAACATAGTTCCTTACAAATGGAGTGCCACTCATCAAATATTTATAAAGAGTAGCCTGAGAAGCCAGTGTAGCGCTTGGCAAGCCTGGGGACATTTCCCACATGCTCTGTGGGACGGCGTAGGTAGGGGACACCCTTTAATTTTGTGACATGATTTGGGGGCTCCAGCGCAAGCTGGTCTTGGCATGGTTTCTCCCAGTTCAGGGCCCGTTCAGGCTTCGCAGGCAACTCCCTTTGAAGTCCATGGGAGCTCTTTGAATGGAAAACATACACAACGGGGTGCTGACGCAAATAGGAATCAGGCCTGATGTACGTGGGGAGTAAAGGTGCTTCTCCACCCAAATATTAGCTCTTTAGCTAGGAAACTATGGTTTGATCATTAAATAAAAGAGCCCCTCCCTGCCCCCCAAACCTCACAATCTACCACCAGAGCTCCACCATCCATTTGCTCAGGAAATGATAAACCTGCTGGTTACCTGAGAGTTTTAATTAAGCAACAGATACAGACAGTGCAGGGCTCATTTTGCTTTAAACATATCAATAAAATAAGCATTCTCAATTCCAGGGCAACTTGCTCAATGATAAAAAAAACTAAGCATCACTATCTTTTGAAATATCACTCATCAAGTGTGATCATTTAGAAAAATATCTCTATTAGAGACAGTTAGACTTGTTTTTTAGTTGAAAATGCAGTCGCCGATGGAGTGCGAAGCTGCAATTTGTAGACAGGTTAAGTAAATTAAATCACTCACTGTCTTTTTTGTTTTTTTTCTTTTCTTTTTCCTTTTCCAATGGCTTTAAAAGTTAAAGGTAATTTGCAAAGAAAATGCTCGGTTGAATTGGTTTGTAATATCTGTTAATGATCTTTAAAAAAATCCACTTATTCACAATCCTGTCCCTGAGGGAATAGCAGTGTGCTATCAGAAAAATTTCTAAAGTCTGAAATGTCATTAGCTAGTGATTTCTTTGAAGTAAAAAGCCCTGAAAAAATAAATTATATAAGGTATACAAGTGCGCAGGACAATCACTTTGATGAATAATATCTGTGTTTTTCATGCGGCAAAATACAACAATTGAGATTCAAGCTGCTAAATTACAGAGCCGTCTTTTGAGTTACGTCCACGTAGGCGTACCTGCTCTGTTTATTTCACATGTATAAGGAGTTCTTCCATATATTTATAGATTGTCGATGTAAAAACAGTAGTGTTAGGAACCATTTTGATTATATTCCTTGTGTTTACCTTTTGGAAATACAAGGTGTTGCCTAAATATAGGCCTACAGGTGTTCCATCCAGGAGGAAAAACAATGGCCTGTTTCAGTGCAGCAGCCTGGATCCCAGAGCCAGGTGCCGGGAACGGAGGTGCAAACACCAGGCAGCGCCTGGATGGTTCACTATTAGATAACAGAGCTGTGAAATACTACACCAAAGGGAAAATGTCCTTCCTGACCCCAGCTGGCTATCGGTTTTTGCCGGGAAGCAGGGGAGTCTTTGTAATAAAATATTAGTCGGTGTAACTGCTGATGCTGTTTCAGCCGCTATAAATAGCTAATCTTTTTTTTTTTTTTGAGGGAGGAGTTGGATTTTACTAAACCATTGGCTAGAGGTTAATTATACATTTCATAAGAAAGTATTTCCTTGCAGCCAGCCTAAATTTGTTACCTTTTAATCCTGCTTTACATAAGAAGGCTGGAAATATAGGAGTCTCCCCGAGGTCCTTCATTATTGCCATTATTTTATACATTAGGTCTTTAATTATTTTTCCTCATACATTCCTTACCTCTTCGCTAAACTGCAGAGGGTCCCAGTTTTATTCATTTTTCCTCAAGAAAAGACATTCTCTTCTTCCCAGCCCAGCTGGCCTCTAATCACACGTGTGGTTCTTCCCATTTCCTGCTCAGTAGCTGACATCAAGAGAGCAAACTGAACCCAGGTAAGAGCAAACCACTGATTCATTTTAATAAAGATATTCTATACTATTTTCTGTGTTAGTCCCTCCATTTGCTTCACCTAAGAAATAAACATTTGAAACTTTTATTTATTTATTTTGCGGTACGCGGGCCTCTCACTGTTGCGGCCTCTCCCGTTGCGGAGCACAGGCTCCGGACGCGCAGGCTCAGCGGCCATGGCTCACGGGCCCAGCCGCTCCGCGGCACGTGGAATCTTCCCGGACCGGGGCACGAACGCGTGTCCCCTGCATCAGCGGGCGGACTCTCAACCACTGCGCCACCAGGGAAGCCCTGAAACTTTTTTGAAGCTTTATTAGGGTTCCACATATGGAAGCTTGCAAAGAGCAGAAGCACGTGACTCAATGTGTTATCCTGGAGGGAACCAACCCCTGTAACCACCCTCGGGATAAGAAAGACAACACAGCTATCCCTGATTGCTCCTGTGATGGGACCCCTCCTTGCTCCTCATAGATTTTTTTTTCTTCTGTAGAGGGGACATCACATAAATGGAATCATATGGTAGCTGTTCTTTTGTGTCTGGCTTCATTCCTTCAACACTATGTTTGTGAGCTGTATCTATGTTGTTGGGTGTAATTATCGTATTTCTTCCCTGTTGCATTTCCTTCCGTTGGATCAGTTACCCATTCTACTCCTGATGAATGTTTGAGTTGTTTCAGTTTTAGGCTATTTCAGAGAGGGTGGCTGTAAGCTTTCTTGGGCACGTCTTTGGTGTGTGGTGTGTGTGTGTGTGTGTGTGTGTGTGTGTGTTTCTGTTGGGTGTGTAGACCAAAGGGGGACTTACTACGTTGTAGGGCACAGCTGTGATTGGCTTTAATAATGTCAGTTTTCCAAAGAGGTTGTGTCAGTTTCCACTCCCACCAGCAGTGGGAGAGACTTATGCTGCTCTACCTTCTCATTAACGTCTGGTTCTCTTAGTCTTTTTGATTTTCGTCGTTCTGGTGGTGTGTAATTGAATTTCATTGTGGTTTTAATTTGATTTCCTGGATTAGTAATGTGTTGAGCATCTTTTCAGGTACATTGGCTATTTGGGTATTTTGTGAATGGGTTTTCAAGCGTCCTGCTAGTTTTGCTATTGTATTTTTCACCTCTTTTACTGATTTGTAGGAGATATATATCTGGATATGATCCTTTCTTGGTTATATATATTGCGAATATCATATACCACCACGAGCTTGACTCTTCATTCACTTTATGGTGTCTTTGGATGAGAGGAAGATTTTAATTTTAGTGTAGTCTAATTTACCAATACTTTCCTTTATAGTTAGTGCTTCCTATGTCCTACTTAAGAGAGCTTTGCTTACCCCGATGCCATGAAAGTATTCTTTTATATTATCTTCTGGAAGCTTTATTGTTTCCCCTTTCACATTTACATCTGTAATCCACATGGTGTTGACTTTTGTATATGGTGTGAGGCTGGGATCAAGTTTGTTTTTCTTCCATCATATCTACTTACCTTACACCATTAATAAAAAAGATTTCCTTTCCCCAGTGCTCTGAAGTGACACTTTTGTCATAAATTAAGTACTCATTTATAGACTGATCATATGACTTTTTCCCCTTTATTTTGTTAAGGTGGTGAATTATCCAGTAGGTTTGTGAATGTCAAACCAACCTTGCATTTCTGGACTAAACTGAATTTGTTTACGATGTATTATTTATTTCACGTATTATTGCATGTTTTGATAATTTTTACAATATGTATGGATGAAATTTACCTGTAATTTTCCTTTAGTGTAATGTCCTTGCCAAGTGTGTTATCAAGGTTTAGCTGGCCCATAAAAGGAGTTGAGAAGTGTCTTCTTTACATTCTTTAAAAAAATAAAACATAATGAGTCTGATCTAATATAGTGATTAAAAATATACATAGTTTGTCCTAAGTATATTAGTCAGGGTTCTCCAGAGAAACAGAACCAATAGAATATACACAGACATATATATGAACTACTCTATGAACTGGCTAGCACAATTATAGAGACCAGGAAGTCGCTTGATCTGCTGTCTGCAAACTGGGGACCAGGAAGGCTGGTGGTGTAACCCAGTCCAAGTCTGAAGGCCTGAGAATTGTGGGGTTGGGGGCTGAAGGGTGAGCAATGGTGTAAGTCCTGGTTGGATACTTTTCTAATTGAAGCAGAGTTGATTTATGATATTATATTAGTTTCGGGTGTATAGTATAGTGATTCAGTACTTTTACAGATTATATTCCATTAAAAGTTATTACAAGATAATGGAATACACCTGTGCTATACACCTGGCTGGATTCTGAAGGCCTGAGAACTGGGACCTCCTATGTCTAAGGCAGAAGAAGATGGGCATCCCAGCTCAAGCAGAGAGAAAATTCACCCTTCCTCTGCCTTTCTGTTCTATCCAGGCCTTCAGTGGATTGGATGGTGCCCACCGCAGTGGTGAGGGTGATCTTCTTTACTTCATCCACCCATCTAAATGCTGATATCCTCCAGAAATAATGTTTCACCAGCCACCTGGGCATTCCTTAGCCCAGTCGAGCTGACATGTAAAATCAACCATCACAGTTAAGTGTTTATTCATCATAATTATCTTTCATTCCAGGCTTCTGTATATTTTAAATTAGGCTTTCGTCAGGAAACTGGTTTTGTGTGAGTTTTGCCTGGGAAGGTAAATAGAAGTTAGATGATCTAGGAGTTTTCATGTGTCTCTCGGCAGTAAGCTTGTGTGCCCAAGGCTGAACTGTGTCACTGTGTCTCAATCCCAAGACCCACAATCAAGGTCCATCCTGGGTTTAAAGGAGAACCTATAAGATGAGAACTTTCTGGACATATGATAAGCATTCAGATAAAACACCTGATCCCAGTGAGAATCTTCAAAGCCAATTTCATCTCCTCCTTTTGACCCTTCAGTCACTGTTCCACTGAGTTTTTTTTTTTAATCTCCTTCAATACTGTATATCTCATAGCTCACCCATCTTTCCATACCTTCTTGCTGTGGTCCTCCAGACTGTGGCATTTCTAGAACACCTAGTCTTCATTTCATCCTCTTCTCAGCAATCCAAGTGCTTGCTCCAAAATGGACAGCTGGCCACCTTAGCCCTTGCTGACAACTCCTTGATGGCTTTACCAGGTGAAGTGCAGGCTCATGAACACATACACGGTGCCCCCACTGGCTGGGCTCTTCCTTCCTCCTCAGCCTGCCTCCCCCTCCAGCATCTCCAGGTGCCTGCGGGTCCTGGTGTGCACAGCGGGGTTTTGTGTGCCAACTTTTGTGTGTGCTGCTCTTCCTCCCAGGCATAGGCTATCCAGGGCTTCCTCCTGGATAATCCATTCTTTGATAATCAGCTCAGACCAGAACCTTTGACTCCTCGCAGCTGGGGCTGCGTGGTCAGCTTCTAATTTCTGTGGTTAGATGGTGAACTCTTTGCAGGCAGGGTCCAGGTCTCAGCCTGGTAGCCAAAAAGGGCTCAGCAAATATTTGTAGATTCAAACAGAAGAGACAACACTGACTGGTTGACTAGCTTGCATTTCATTTCATCTCTTTTTGGAAGCCGGAGATGGACTAAAATGGCCCAAATACCATGAGGTAGGGAGGTAGGAAGGCCAAGGCTGTGGAAAGTCCGCAGATACCATCTCCTCCTGTATGACTGAGTTCAGTTCAAATGGTTAAAACTCTCTTACGTGGCATTCGCTTTCTGTAGAATGGATTAGCAGCAAGGATTTTCCATAAAGATAGATTTTTCCGGAGTAACAAATATGAACCATTTACTCTAAGAATTTAAATGAAAAAAAAAATCCTACTTAAAAGGCAACTGACTGAGATCCTTCCCCTTTTCTCTTATTAATAAAAGAGTTTACACAGAAACTCTATAAGAAATTGTGTAAGAGATTCACAAGGATCATTAAAGTCCCTATTAGACATTTACTTTCACTTTGTAAAATTGGCTATACTCTCCAAACGGTATCACATAAAAATGGACTTTCTGGGGCTCTTCTATATGAATGGGTTTTAGCTGCACAGTGGTGCCATTCATTTTATTTGGCCCATTTATTGCAAGTACATTCTAAATTTGGCCTTAATTATTTTTCCTTTCACAAAAATATTTTGTGGGATCTTTTTGAACCCTGACTACTTCCTTCTTGTCCCTTAAAACAGAATCCAGGAGTGTTATTTTTGTTCTCTTCTAATTAAAATAATTGCTTGGTTCCTTTTAACTAGATTCATGCAGTTATTAGCCTAATACATGGATGGGTGCCATGGGGTGCTTGAGAGACAGAATGAAAAGTGATCGTGTAGCTTCACATGAAAAAGCTTCTGTGGTGACAAGGAGCATTTTTCCCTTTCAGCCGGCATTTTATAAGGACCTTTAGTAAACCTGGCCCCCCATCCCCTTACTAAAAGACGATTAAGCGAAAGAATAGTTCTATTTTCTTTATTAGGTATACAGCCAACCCGGTACAATTTGAAGAGGGGCACTTGATGTTGCTGGGTATGGCACAAAGACCTGGGGTCTGGTTTTAATTTCTGCCCCTGCTTTGTCTTCCAGAATAACTGCATTGGAAGGGTAAAAGCCCCATGTCTCCTCGGCCAGCGGGTGTTTATCATAGGACAGTGGAAAAGAGGGACAAAAATGCCTGGATATAATATTAGGAGTTGGCAGGACCCGGCCTCTAAAAGGAAGTGTTAAAACAATGTTTTTGACATCAAGGCTTTTCTCAAAGTTGATGTAAGTCCTGGGGTTTGTCAAAGGCCCACGGGCTACATCTGACCTGTTGCCTCTCTTTGTAAGTTAAGATTTACGGGGCGATAGCCATACCCATTTGTGTATGTGCTGTCTACGGCTGCTTTTGGACCGAGATGTGGAGCAGTGGTGACAAAGTCCATGTGGTCTACAAAACCTAAAAAGTTTACTGTATGGTTCTTTGCAGAAAAAGTTTGCTGACTCTTGAGACAGTCTATCCAATTCACTGAGTATCTGCTAGATATCTACACCATGCTGAAAAATGTGTTTATAGGAATTTTAATTGTGGCCCTCTTTTGATGAGATGCTGAGGGCCTTTGGTGATGTGCTTTTGACATGGGTGTTCAGTATAGGTGTATAGGTAGCAGGAAGTGAGAAGGATTTGGCCCAAGAAGTCATGGTTTGAGAAAAGGTTCTGCCATGATTGTCTCGGATGTCATGGATCATGGCTGGGATCTTCCTTTGTCTGCTACCTGGAGGAGAAGGTGTTGATGGCTTGGAATGCACCTTTATTAGTGACTTAAAGACCTACGGTCACCTTTAATAAGAAAAGCATCTATGGTCAATATGTGGACTCCTGCTGCCAGGCCAAAAGATGGGACCCCTCTGCACCAGTTGGTTGGGAGGGTCAAGTAGAGAGAGTCCAAGTGTTTTCTAAGCCATGAGGTGCTGTATTTGTGGCATAGATATTATCCATAAAACATTGGATAAGTGTTACTTCTCTTTGGCATGTGAGAAAATGAGACTTAGCTTGTCAAAGATTTAATAAGCCAGTAGAAACACTGGAGGCTGGGTCTCCTGGCTCTAATCACTGTGCTTTTCAGTGCACCATACGCTTCTGTACATCATGTTTGTTTCCACGGTTTCAGAAATACTCAGTTCTTTAGTTCCTTCTCCTCCCTCCCTCCCTCCCTCCCTCCCTTCCTTCCTTCCTTCCTTCACTGTTCAACAATATTTATGAGTCTGCTATGAACTGGAAAACGAGCTGAATTTTTCAGGGAGAGTGATGACTACTTAAAGAACAGTTGGAAGACTCTTAGAATAATTTTGTTCTTGGACCCCTATGGCTGGAGTCCAGAAGTATATAGATTTCCTCATGGTTTCTCCTGAGCTGCCCAAGGAGCTGGCCCTTATTTTTGATACGAAGAAAGAGGGTAGATGGGATGGGAAAGGGAGAGTAATCCTGTCGCTCAACAAAATGTTGCCAGATACATTGTTTTGGATAGTGTGTGTGTGTGTGTGTGTGTGTGAATGTGTGTATGTGTGTGTGAACGTGTGTATGTATTTGTGTGTATATGTGTGTGTCTGTGTGTGTATGTAGGTACGTGTATATGTGTATGTGTGTATGTACGTGTATATGTGTATGTGTGTATGTGTGTGTATGTGTGTATATATGAGTGTATGTTTATGTGTGTGTATATGTGTGTATATCTCTGTGTGTATGTGTGTGTGTGAATGTGTGTATGTATATATGTGTGTGTGTTTGTATATGTGTGTGTATATATGTGTGTGTGTATGTGTATTTATGTGTGTGTATATATGTGTGTATGTGTGTGTGTGTGTGTAACAAGATAGGAAAGAGAAAGAGAGATGGTGAAATGATGATAGCAGATTATACCAGCAACCAAAAGATGGAAAGAGCCTAGGTTTAGAAGATTTGAAAGTTAGAATTTTTTTTTTTTTGTGGTACGTGGGCCTCTCACTGTTGTGGCCTCTCCCATTGTGGAGCACAGGCTCCGGACATGCAGGCTCAGCGGCCATGGCTCATGGGCCCAGCCGCTCCGCAGCATGTGGGATCCTCCTGGACCGGGACATGAACCCGTGTCCCCTGCATTGGCAGGCAGACTCTCAACCGCTGCGCCACCAAGGAAGCCCTGAAAGTTAGAACTTTTTACCTAAAGTCCAAGAGAATCCCTATCAGAGACATTTTCAACTATGAATTTTCCAATTAGGCAACATATATGAAACATGCCAGTATGTTGACTACACTGTCCAATACAGTCTTCACTCAGATTGTATTCCTTCAATGATGTGTCTTGTAATTTTTGAAATGATGATTATCAAATGTGCCTGGAGGAAGCAGCTTTAACCAAAACATTGAATTTGTTGTGTCCTGGTAGGTGAAGTGAAGTTCTTGAAAGTTCTGTTTTTGATACTTGTCCTTTTAACAGGGACGTTTGCCGGTATTTCCCTTATAGTCAAATAGTCAATGTCGTTGGCTACTTAACGCTCTTCAGGTAACCTTGAACCTAAGAGTCATATGATTCTCTGAAACAAAGGTACCAATGAAGTTGCCTCATCAAAACAAAACAAAATAAAACCTTCCAGAATCTTCCATTGTACGGTTGTCAGCGCAAAGACCTCTGGGAAGTACAGTAGAAAATTATGCCTTTTTCTCCTTTTTCTCCCACATCAGTGAGTCACAACCCTGCTGACTGAATTTGGAGGTGGGTGTATCTGACCCTGCAAGTCATCCTTGAAGCTGTGCTACTTCTCTGATATTCCCTGGACCCAGGACGCTCTTGTTTTCAGAACCGCAATTTGTTTCAGCACAGAAAGCATATGCATTGCAGGACTTAACACTGATACAGATAACACTTTTCCTCTCTAAGAAATTTGTAAGCATTAACCAATTTATTTAACTTTCCTGCCGTGAAGTGAATTTTCTTCTGTTTGCTGTGGGAAAACCCTTCTTTTTCTAATTCTAATCTTTTAGCAGGTATTCTACTGAGAAATTGTCCCCACGCTGGAAATGTTTTGTAGAGGGGGAAATAAATCTCTCAACACAGTGTAAAATTCTACTGAAATAGATGACCTCAATTTCCTCAGTGTCTAAGCCTCTTTTTAAGCGATTTAGCAATGCTCCAGAAAGAAAAGTAAAATCTCATTGAAAACTGTGGGAACTATTATTGTATTACTACTACTGTTACTACCATTACTGTGTGCCAAGTTCTTAATGATTTATGTGTATTATTTTGTGTTCCCCAGAAAGGAGAGCTTGTGGAAAAGCTCATGTGCTGTCTCTTCAGTGGAGAGTTCAATCCAGGAACAGGATGTGATTAAGGATATTGAGATGGAGAGTTACCTTGGATTATCTGGGTAGGTCATAAGTCCAGTTGTAACTGTCTTTATGATAAGGAGGCAGAGACAGAGGCAGATTTGACACACAGAGGAGGAGAAGGCAGTGTGACCACGAGGCAGAGGCTGGAGTGATGCTGCCACAAGCCAAGGAATGTGGGCATCACCAGGAGCTGCAGGAGGTGAGAAAGGGACCCTCCCCTCCAGCTTCTGGAGGGGGCACAGCCCCTGCTGACAGCTCCGTGTGGGTGGGCGACACTGATTGCAGAGTGCTGGCCTCCAGAACTGTGAGAGAATACATTCCTGTTGTTTAAGCCACCAAATGTGTGGTAATTTGTTACAGCAGCTGCAGGGCGATAATGCAGGGACCATCCTCCCAAAGCATGAACTATTAGGTCTCAGGAGAATCTGACCCAGTGGATGAAGGGGAGGAAGAAACGGGAGAGAATGTACCTGCCAGTTACTCTGATTGTTCAACGGCTTTCCTCAGGGGACATTAATACCTCTTTATTTCCCCCCTTACCTCCGGGTCAAGCATGGCTGGAGACTGAGTTTTGCTGGAGGGTCTCAGGCTTCAGGGTCACAGGGGAGCCCCAGGGTGGGAGGGCAGAGGCCAGTAATGGGGAGACAAGAAGAGCCTTCATTGGTTGCAGCCTCTGAAGTCTGTTGCTTGGAAGGTGAACTTTCAGGTAGGGGCAGCCCAGAGCAGGGTGTCCAAGTCACCAAGGCATAGTGGGGGTCTGAAGCTGTGATCTCTTGGCCCTCACCACAGCCCCGTAAGCCAGGTGTGGCGGGCCTCCTCCGACGAAGCCCGTTCCCCAAGCTTGAACGCCTTCAGCTTATGGAGCTCACTATCACTCAGGGCTGTGCATCTCACCTTCCAATGTAGTAGCTGAAATCTCCTTCAGTTGAGTCAAAACCTCCCTTCATGTAGATGCCACGACTGGTTCTAGGTTTACTTCCTGATGCACATGAAGTAGGGCGCACTCTTATACACAAAAGTTCTCACCAAATATCTGAAGACAGTTTTTCTCCGTTTTCTTTTACCAGGCAAAGCACTCCCCGTTTCTTCACCTCTGGAGCTGTGGAGGAGTATTCTTCTGGGGACTAGAGGCCACACCCATCCCTTCTCTGGGCATGTCATCTCCCTCTGTCTCATGGGGAAACTCACACCATGCACTGGAGCTTCAGGTACAGTCTGCTCAAGCACACGGGTGTCTTGTCTCCTTGTTTCTCACATCACTGAGTAGCTAGAGATTGTTTCTACTTTAGGTTTTGACAAACACATCATTTTTAGTTGTACTAAACATAGCATTGATGAAAATGCCCTTTTGGTAGCCTTGAGTACAGGTGACTACATGGAAGCATATGTTAGTACCAAAGGAGCCGTAAGAGCCCCAAGGCATTAATCAATATGCTAGGGGTGCTACTGTGTGAGATCTGTAGAGGTCAAATGCCACCCCACGTCACGACATGTAAATACCCACAGTTTTATGCAGAATTGAGGCCCGTCGGTGATGCCGAAAGGTCAGTGCCAGTCAGCCATGCCAGCCTGGGGAGCATTCTCAGCCAACCTGTCCTCCGACCAACCTTCCTCCTCAAAACAACCAACCAGCCAAACCCACTTCTGGAGCATCTTCTGGCCTGCAGGTGGGCATGTTCCCTCTTCTTGTCTCTTAGCGGGAAGCCCTGATTTGGCTTCTGTTCCCGGTCCAATCCAAGTCCCAGCATCGTTGGCGAGAGGAAGAGCCATTGCCATGGACTAAAAGGCCAGTGTGCACGGGCATCCCCCCACCACCTCTCACAGATGGAGCAGCCCCGCAAGGCAGACATCATAGCCTTCAGTTTACAGGTAACGACATTAAGCTCCATTCAAGGTAACCCTCCCAAGGTCAGAGAGGAGCACAGCCAAGGTTCAGACTCTGCTCGCCCATGCGGTGGCCAAAATGATCTGAAGTGTAGAAGAGATGGGGCGCCTGGACCATGGCAGGTGGACCCAGCCTGGAGCTGACCCTTCCGAGGCCCCGCAGGAGCTGGGGAGCCCGCACTTGGCACTAGATGGCTCAGCCTCTGTAAGTCTCCCCTCGGTGACTGCGTCTTCTCATGTCACATATGTGAGAAAACAAGGCCCAGCTGGCCCAGCTTCCGAGGTTCGCAAACATGGGTGTTTCTGTGGCCCGACAACTATTTACTAAGTGCCTTCTGGGTCTCCTGGGCCAAACCGGGGCAGGATGGGAGAACAGAGGCCCTAGTACAGGTCCCATGTAGCTGGAATGAACCTTCCAAAGTGAAACTCCTAAGCACATCATTTATAATTACACCCCATTTCTTCTGCTCAGTTCTAACAGTTAACCTGTTGATAATGGTGAGTATCACCTTCTCCCTCACGGTTGTCACACCAGCAGATCCCCTCACAACCTCCCCAGGAAAGGGTTCTCACGACAGTTGCTTTCACTCTACCGCTCAGAAGGCACGCGTTTCCGTGAGCTCCCCCCGCCCCCAGGCATCATGCCAAAATCATATTTCCAGGGGGCAGAGGTGAGTGCTGTGCATCTATCTGATTAAGCTGCCTGTTGTTTTAAATCTATTTTCACAGAGACTTATGTCCTCCAGGACACAGGCAGTGACACAGCGCATTAAAAGTTATATCTGTATCAGTGGTTGTCTCTGTTTATGTAGAGGCCTCTCGTTATGAAGGATATGCATTCAATGATTGTGAAACAATCGCAGCTTAAAAAAAAGGTCGCATACGTACTTGATTGACCAGTTAAAAAATGAGGGAATTCTGTGAAGCACCAAATACGTAGATAACATTAAAAGGGAACAAGGACGCGCTCTTCACCCAGACTTTTCTGCGTGAATGGTGGACCCTCCTCTGTCAAGGGCAGGGCAGCAGCAGGCCTCTCTTCCAGGCCATTTTCCTAATATTTCTGCTTTTCATCAGGGCCTGGGGACCAGGACGGTGGGGATCTCAGTCCTTGCCCACTGCCCACGTTAGAACCTTCATTAATCTGTGAGTTCCTTGCCCCCTCACCTTGACCCAAAGAATAATGCCTCCCCCAGAATTACGCAAAAATCAATGGCAAAGTTAATTGAAATCTGGACCTCTTAATGTTTTTCTCTTTCTTAAGTGATTGCTTGGTTTCCAAAGAGTGAGGTTGAACTCAAAGGATGGCTTTAATCGAGGAAGAGTGAATTGGTAAGAGAGAGAAAGCAGAGGTAGATAATTTTCCAAGTGACTGAAAGATAGGGTTTTCTCTTTTTTTTGAAAAATAATGTATTTTGAACTTAAGGAAAATAATATTGTTTCAGTGCTTTAAAAGATGTATTAATGGAAGTTTAAGTTGGAGTTTAATAAAAGCTAAAATTTGCAGTAATTCCCTTCTGAACAAATTTTCCTACTATACTTTTCTCCCCAGGGCATCCACATTTTGCCCTTCCTTATACAATTAGCATATTTATCTATACGAACTGTAAGCTCATCTTATACTTGACCTTTGAGTTTTTGACTTTTTTTAAAATTAATTTTTATTGGAGTACAGTTGCTTTACAATGTTGTGTTAGTTTCTACTGTACAGCAAAGCGAATCAGCCATACATATACAAATATCCCCTCCCTTCTGGATTCCCTTTCCATTCAGGTCACCACAGAGCACTGAGTAGAGTTCCCTGTGCTCTACAGTAGGTTCTCATTAGTTATTTTATATATAGTGTTTCCCTTTAAGATTTCATTTCCTTTCAAGTTTTATGCTGGGGCTTCAGGAATGTTACTGGATGGGAAGAGTGACCAGGGCATTTTCCACAGCCTGGCTCACAGCTCTGCTGGCTCCTTAGAGGGCTGGAGATGCTTTGAAGGAGGTTGACGCCTCTTCTCTTTCCTCCCAGGGGACCAGGGAGGGGAAGAGGGAAGCGGGAAAGTGATGGAGGTCACTAACCACTAGAAAGAAGGTGTCCAACTTCTTTATTTTAAGGATTCTTACCTTCCTGATAATTGTAGTGTTTGTATCATAGGTACTTGGCCTGTAATTTGCCTTCATCCTACAATACTGTTTATATTTATAGCAGTCTATAACACACAGAGTAAGTGCTATTTCACTGGATTCTCACATCAATTTGCTGAGGCAAAAGGGACCAATATTTTGATCTCTGCTTTGTAGAAGAAGAAACGAAGTCTCCAGTGGATTGGAATTTGTCCAAGATGACCCAGCCAGTGATGGGGGTTGGGAGGTACAGGTCTTCAGGCTTTTAGGGGAAGAGAAAGGGGGTGGGGGACCGAGCACTTACCCTGATGGAGCTCTGGATAACGGGGGGTGGGCAAGGCTCGTCTTCAGTCAGTCGGGACCCACACAGCATCCCCGTGGTGCCCTTGCTTGGTGCCAATCCAACCACTGGGAGATGCAGTTCAGAACGCTGGTTCCCACTCTCGTTGGTGTCTGTAGCTTCCAAAATATTCAGACAAAGGGCTCCGAAAGGCATCTGGTCAAGCTTTGCAAAGGGAGAAAACTTATCCTCTGATTCCCGAAGCCCTGAAGTCAGGGATTTGATTATGCTTATCACGATCTCAGCTTCCACCGCTCCAAATGTGGTTAGTTTTGTAATTAGTTAATGTCATTACCTGTCATCAAATCCAGACAACGCTGGTCTCCAAAACTTCCCATGGCAGAGAAACCCACAACCTGACATCTTTCCACCGTTTTACACAGAGTTTCTTTAATAATCTTGGCAACTGTCCCCTCCTTCCTAGACCACAGGTCTGAAAGTTAAGAGAAAGATTATTTCTCGTATTTTTTTAAAGGCCATTTAAAATTCTTCAGTACCTTTTCCCCAAACCTTTCTTCACTCCAAGCAAAGCATAAATATAATCTTTTCAGCAACTCTTCTACTCTTCTCTATTTTCCTTCTTATATATGTCGGTTGTATTTTGCTTTGGGCAGAATGGCCAAAATAAGAACGTGTTTACCATAGGGAAACACCCCGTTAAGGACTATTTTTACCTTTCATAAAATGCTGCTTGTCTTGTTACCTCCTTGCTGGTAAATCCTGGGTGAGCGGTTTTCTTCTGTGCTCTTATGCAGTCATTCGACAAATATTCCCTGAGCGCCGACTGTGTGTGGCTACTTGTGGGTACTTGGGACACAGCAGGGAACACACTGTTTGCATCCTGGTCCTGCGGGAGCTTACGGTCTGATGGGAAAGGAAGATGATAGGAAAGTCAACAGTCTGTGGGCTGGACATCTTCCGTGTGCCCCTCCAGAACCCCCCCCCTTACCTCCCTGTGGTGTGGGGAGCCCTGGGGAGGGAGGTCGGCAAAGGTGCGTCATCAGTGGCCTCTTTGCCCTCAGGGTCTGTCTGGGTCAGGACCCTAAACGGGGGAGCAGGACGGTGGGCTCTGGGTGCTTATGGCCCCATCCCCTCTGCCGGCCCAGGGGTGACACAATTGCTTTTCTGTTGGTTAGGAATCAGCCCTTCCCACGGCTGCTTCAAGCCCGGGACGGGAACTGCTCTTCCTGGGTTTGGTTTTCCTAGTCTTAAGAACCCTTCCATAAACAGACCACCCATTAGCTTCTTCCCAGTCACCCACTTGAAGGCGCCTCCTGTCACTACCGGACCCTGACTGCCACCGTGGTCAGAAGGCAGTGCCGCAGGACCTGCCGTCTTTTCCACGCTTAGTGCATCAGAAGTGGTGCCTTGTCACCTGCACACTTTTGGACTAAATGTCCTGGGGTTTCAGGCTGCGTCGCTCCCTATGACTCAATTACTCATTGATAAGGCACGTGATGTATGCACCCTCACCATACGTGCATCACTATACGTGATAAAACAAGCGCACCTCCTCTGCATGCCCTCTGACCCTGCCATCCTGCTTGGCCAGCCTTCAGTGCCTCCCGGATTCCAGGGGCCACAAGGACCTGCCCATCCACAGGCCAGTTCAGCAAGCTCCCCACAGCCTGCCCGGAAGGGTCCAGCACCTTACTGCGGCCGCGGAGACGCTTCTCCCCCTCAATGCCTTCTGCTCTGCCAGCGCTACCCTTGCTCCATGCTCAGGGGACCACTGGTCCGTTCCCGGCCCCCCACTCATTTTTATTCCTCTGTGGTGAAGGCCCAGCTCAACAGCTCTTGGGAGCCTTTGCTGGTTTCATCATTTTGAGGAAGGGGTTTTATCTTTTTTTAAAAGGTTGTAATTTTAATTTTTTATTGTCCTGATTATGAAAACAATGCATCTCCATGAAAAAACCATAGAGAACATAAAATACAGAAGTTAAAAAATATGTCTCACTGTCATATATAAGTTCCAGGGACAACTGGGGGGCTTTGTCTTTAGCTTGGGAGGCAGAGCATATTTATACATTGCCAGGCCACCTCGGCTGACCAGTGTCTGTCTTTTCTAAAGAACTTTTATAGATTCTCGGGCTCTTCTGCTTGCCCGGTTCACACTGGCCTGAACTGTCCCCTTAAGCCAAACCAAGTATTTTCCTTGTCTGCATTTAAGCTTATTATTGCTTGTATTTTGGGGAGTGAATCTGGGCTCCAAGCTCTGAAGTTCATGGCTTCGCCTCTTCTTGGAAACAAGGTCCAAGGATTCAGATGGCCTGGAGCACGCTCATCTCAGTGGGTGGTTTATATACTCATTGCTCTCCTTCTGGAAACCCCTGATGGATGCCATCCGGGTGAGCTTTGCTGCTATGCCCAAGGTTTTCAGGGTTACTCTGTACTTCCCCCCAAGAGACATCAGTGTGTGTTAAAGCCACACCAGGATTTCCTGTGCAAAAAGCCCTTGAAATATGAAGTTCCCCTATCTCCCGATGATAAAAGCGATGCAGAAAGAAAAAAACCCAACATAACAGCTTTGTTACCTGATGGTACTTATTAGTAAGCTTCCCTCAGAAAGAGCGCTGAGAGATTTCATGCGGATTTGGGTTATACTCTGGGGAATTTGTCTGCAAAAAGCTACCAAGTGGCCACCATTCCTGTGTATGTGTTTTTCGTCTGTGATAGATGAAATAAGGATAATATTCTTCATTTGGTGATGCACTCATTCAGTATAAGTTTAAGTTTAAAACTCTTAGTTTCCAGCAGCTTATTAAAAAACACACACCAGTCTGGCTAAAATATATCCTCAGGAAACCAGGCTGGAAGAAGAGGCGGTGAGACAGGAATGAGCTATTTAGCTTTTCTTGGAAAATGGCATAATTCTCAGAGGAATGAAAGGCCAAGCATTCCCCGGATTTTTCTCAGTCACACGTGCCAGTCCACAAAGTGCTGAAACCCCAGACACAGAATCTGGATTGATTTCAACTTCAGTCATTCAGGTGTTTGTGGCACAGAATAAACACCACCCAGAAGGTAGCATCCTGAGTTCCCAGAAGTCCCAAGGTCCAATATAATTTTAGGCAACACTTTCGGCTTCCACACAGGGATAGTAAGGTAGTCATTCAGTCCACATAAGCAGAATATTTTACTCTTTAAAAAGAGAAATCCTAAATCAACTGACGTTTGGCATGAACCTGCTGAAAGAATTTATTTTTCTAGGTCATGCAGACCTCACATTAATCTGTTCACATTTCCGTAACTCAATGGCATGTTTGTTGAGTGAATATTGTACAGTCCCATTGTGTCAGATGTTACGAGCTACCGAAATCAACATGGTATCTGCTGCTTTCAGGGAGCTTGCCGTCTATCCAGTGACACTGGACGCAAACGTAGGAAACAATCAATCAGTGGATAGCACAAGGCATTCCATAAATAAGGATGGGGCAGGAGTTGGGAAGAGAGAGAAAGACAAAGCTACTGGACTCTTCCAGAGAAGACTTGAGGCTATAGGGTGCCATCTGAGGGAATTTGAACAGGTTGAGGAAGAGAAATGGTTTATTAGGCTGGGATTTAGCAAGAGAAAAGCCACCAACTAGAAGAAAATGAATTGAGTATCTATATGCCAGGTGTTTCTTAAAAAACTAAAATCTTTACCTGCATGAGCTAAATTAATTCTAATAAGAACCATGTGACAAGGTATTTTAGCTCCCATTTTAGAGGTGAGCAAAGTGAGTCTTAAGGGTATAAGTAATTTGCTCAAGATCCCATGGAAGGAAGCTGCTAAACTGGGATTGTCTTGGGGACATGGAAGCAGTCTGTCTGTCCATTTCCCTTCCTTCAAGTTAGAGCAGTGGGAGCCCTGGTCACTTGCTGCTTGCATGTTCTTGCATGGTGAGCGAAGAGCTGAATGGGAAAATTTAGGTGTGAAAACAAAAATGCATCTGGACGTTTTCTGAGCTGCAGGGCCGACGAGGAAGGGGAGGGTTGGGCGTGTTGACGTCCCCTGCAGTGACTGCCACCCCTGAGGTCCCGCTGCCCCTCGAGCTCCCCAGACCTCCGCTGCGTGGCCGGGGATCCTGGGTAGGGGGTCTTCTTCCTCTAATCAAAGACAGTCTGCACACAGGCTCTGCTCCCCCTGGACAGGCCCCAGGATGTTTTCTATTCAGAGAGGAGTCTAGGAACCCGCGGCAGATGGCCAGTGTTCTCCAAAGCTGTCTTCTTTTCTCCCTGGATGTAAAGTCACTCATCTAGACTCTTCACTTCCCAGCTTCCCTGTCTGGACATAAGATTACAATTTTGCCCATAAAATGTGAGCAGAACTGATGTGAGCAGTTCCTGTTTCCTGTCTTCACTGGGCATCACTCTTCCTGGTCTCTCTCTCTTTCTCCCCGTGGGCTGGAACCTGGATGTGCTGGCGACCCTCATTAAACCGAGCAGATGCGCGGTACCCTGCAGGACAGCGGGACGATGATAGGGAGATAATCTGGATCTCTTCGTCACCATGTGAAATGGAGCATCCTGCCAGCCTGGACCGTCCACTCCGGAGAGTTATGCGAAAGAGAAAGCAATTCGATCTTGTGAGCCACTGTATTTTGGGGTCTGTTTAATCTAAGAGCTGAGGTTTTTACCCTGAGTAATACAAGACATTTCTGGGTGGGGAAGTAGAGCATTGATTTCAAGTCAATATCTTGTCTTCCTTCAGTTTTTTCCTTCTTTCCTTCCTTCTATAAGTATTTATTGAACACCAACTGTGTACCAGCAATGGGTACATTACCGGTGATGGTAAACAGGAGGACCGTTTAAAAAAAAAAAAGTCCAAGCCAGTAGTTTGAAGAATTAAGTTGCCAGAAGGTTTCTTAGACCACATGCCGTCTAAGTTGCAAGCAGGCTGGGAAAGGCTGGTGAGAGTTCGGTGGTGCCACACCCTCTAGTCCACGTTCGTGGTTTGCGGTTGTGGACGAGACTGGGGTTGGAGTAGTTGCAGTGGGGCTTTCAAAAGCTTCGAAGGGGCCTGGACTTTGGAATTTCTACCTCTGGTGCAGAGGCAGCAAAGGAGGAAATGGAAATGGTAATTTGTAAAACCTACCCAGCCCTTTGAGCCGCCTACCTATTATTCTCAAGCAAGTGAAGTCCGTGTTTAAGTACCATCTTTTCCCGCGAATATCAATTTTTTAAGTGTGATTTTACCTTCTGCAGAGCAGTATCCTGACTCCTTCTGCAATAACTTTGAACAAGTGAGTTACTTCAGGAAGGAAACAGCATAGGTCCCAGACTTTCTGATGTCCGTGCAGTTATTATTGGGATTTTCTTTCAAAGGTTTTCTTTTCTCCCCCGATTCATGGAGATAAAAAGCACATCACATTGTATAAGTTTAGGTTTACAAGGTGTGGATTTGATACACATATATTGCAAATTTCTAAGGTTTTTTAACACTGTCCTCAGAAAGAGGAAATTGTTTGATTTCTCTCTTTATTTTATTTAATTTATTTATTTTTGATTTCTCTTTTTTTTTTAGAGGAGTGATATCAGGATCTGAAACAGTCCAAGTGAAGTATATTGCGAGACTCCTTTTGTTGGGTTCGTGTTTGCATATCTGAACAATCTAATGAGAAAGGAAGTCCAGGTTTTAGCTTTTGCACATCAGGAAATGGTTACGTGCCCCAGCCTGGCCTTGCAGACGGGCTGAGGGGGGAACCCTCCTTTCTCCCCTCCCCCTTTCCATCTCTCACCCTGAAGTCATCTCCGAGGACTTGGGGTACGCTTGACCACCCTGGAGAATGGCCAGCGGTCACCACAGCTGCTCCCGGGCATCGGCCTTGGAGCCAGGCTCTCCTGGGGACAGGAGAGGGAAGAGGGAAGCAGGGGTCAAACACAGCTGCATTTCCTGGGGCAAGGTTTCCCTGTGTGAGCTCTGGGAGAGGCCTGGAGAGCCATGTCACGTGTGCCGGCTCAGAGCCCAAGCTGGGCTGAGCTGAGTCCCAGGCTGGGAATTCTCAGTTTACAAGTCTTCCTTTCTGTCCTGTGGAAACAGATAGGGAAGGTTAATGAGATGAACATGGCCAAACACTGCTGGCTTCTGAGAAGGAAAAGAGCCTGTTACGCGCTCCTGCAAACACAAGCCCTCTAGATGGGGACAGCTTCTTACTGAGCTCTCCTCCAGGAAGACTTGATTGTTTTCATCAGACAATTCAAAAGTAGCATGTATGCAGGGCTAGTCACTCAGCCGTACATGCCTGCTGAGTCAGGAATCAAGAAAACATCCTATTTTGCTTCTGACCTTTGCAGCAGCTTTGCCCAACACCTGCCACCTTTCCAAATACGCAGGGATTAATATCTGGAAAGGATAGGTCTTTTTATTCAAAAAAGAAGTTGGGTCTGTGATGAACTGTGATAAAATGAAGAACTAGTTAAGGACCAAAGCCAAACAGTATATGGAACGGAAAGATGAGATACCTCTTTGGTTGGAGATTTTCTGAAGAAAATATTCCAGAGAAAAGGGCAGATGGAAATGTATGTGTGTGTGTGTGTGTGTGTGTGTGTGTGTGTGTTTAATGAGTAGTTAAAAAAAATGAACTCTAAGTGGGAAGAAGAGAAGAAAGAAGAAATTTGGGTGCATCTATAAAATCGCCACAATTTATGAGAGTTTAAAAAGACAATTTCTTTTTAAGGAGCCAATTCCTAATTTCCCACATAAAAGTATGGGAATTGAATGGTAAATCCTTCTCGGCCGACAAGACCCCTGAAAAGGGTTGGGAGAAAGAGTTACTGTTCCGTTTCCATTCATGTGTCTTGAAAGCCCGTGGCTGCGAAACTGCCCGGGACAGCAGAGGCCTGGGTTTCAAAGCTGCCCGATGACTTTTCAGAGCTGATCTATTGTGGGGCTTTGTTTCGTCTGGGTCGCCCTCGTTTTGTTCTGCTCGGGCTGTATCACTCTTCTGCCGCTGCTATTAATCCACCCTGTCTACTCCTCTCCATTCAGAGGCACATTTTAACCCTGCCCCGCACAGGGCGCAGCATGAAAGGCTGAAAGGCTGAGCATCACTGCGGGGAGACTGAGAGGGAGGGGAGGGGAGGGGAGTGTGGGGTCCTGGGTGCACAGGCTCACCTGGGTGGCTGGGTGTCCAGGAAGCAAAGAGCAAGGGAGCAAGTGGTGTGAACCAGCTCTGTCCATCTGCTGGGAGTCGGGCAAGCTGGAACAAACCCTTTTTCTCACACGGTCACCGTCTGGCTGAGCTGCCTGCTCAGGCACCGCGAACTCAAGCTCCTGGAGCCTGCAAACGAGCCGGCCCTTGTTTTTCAGCTTTGATTCGATTTCCTTGCTTGTTTTTAATAGGCTCCTTATAGCTCAAGTGTTGTCAGACTGGGATAAAGTGGCAAAAGATACAGTGATTTGTGTAAAAAAAGAAAATTAAATCAGAAAACTGTTGTTTGGTTAGTAACTCAAATTCAGTTCCTGTCCTTATGCCTTCCCAGAAATCCTATTATTTTCAATTATATTCCAAATAGAGAAGATGCTTCTCTGTCCTCCGCATCACTCACTTTCAATGGTGCAAGGGAACCATCCGGAAGGCCCAAAGGGTCCCGAGAGATGTTGGGTTATAAAGTGGTAACAAACGTTCCCCAAGTGCCTGTGGCTCCACGTCATCTGTGGTTCTCACGACACAGCCAGTGGGGGTCCCTCATGGTGGTTCAGGGACCCCTAATAATGGAGGGCTGTTGTCCACATGGGTACCCACGAGCCCCGTGGACGAAAGAAGGGACCTCTCAGGGCTCTCACCTTGGCGATGAGATCTCCAGCTTGAAAACACTTCCACAACAGCTAGCCCAGCGGTCACACCCATCTGCCGGGCTGGGGATCTCTATCTCCGGGTCTAGGAGGAGGAACAGGTGAAATAGGCATCCCTCCAGGACACCGTGCACACGCTCTCAGGGACAAGCAGAGGGCTGCATGGAAAGACAGGGCAGCAAAGTATTTTCAAAACTTTAACTGAACGGTGAAAGTCAAGGATTACATGGTTTGAACGTAATATGCTTAGTCGCACATTTGCCCTCCCCAGCCATTTGGGTTGCGTGGCCTCAGGCAAATCATTAACCCATGGGACATCCACATCATTGCAGATACGGAGGCTCAGTGGGTCTGGATCAGTGGTTCCCAAACCTGAGTGGGCTTTAGATCGGGGAGGACTTATTAAAGCTTTAGCTGTAGGACCTCAGCCCTAGTATCTCTGATTCAGCAGGTCTCGGGGGAGGCAGGGGGCAAGGCTCTGCATTTGTAAAATGTTTCCAGGTGATGCTGATGCTGCTGGTCCAGAGGACACACTTTGAGATGGTCTCTAAAACTGGAGAGTCCGATGTGGCTAGAACATCCAGTCCGACTGGTCCAGAGAACACACTTTGAGATGGTCTCTAAAACTGGAGAGTCCGGTGTGGCTAGAACATCCAGTCCGACTGGTCCAGAGAACACACTTTGAGATGGTCTCTAAAACTAGAGAGTCCGATGTGGCTAGAACATCCAGTCCGACTGGTCCAGAGGACACACTTTGAGATGGTCTCTAAAACTGGAGAGTCCGATGTGGCTAGAACATCCAGTCTTTCCTAAATGTGACGGGGTAGCATCAGCTGAGGAGTTGACTACTGGCTGCAGTAGAGTTTTCATGTGGAAATTTGACTGGAAAATGATTCACCAGAGCATCACTAACCCCTAACCTTTTTTGAGAGCACATTTGCATGTTGGGTTGACACATAGAGTTTAAAGACACATCTCAATTACAAGATGTGATCCAGACAGCTGCCCTTGTGGGGACAGAGGCGGCCACTAAACCCTGAGCAATTACTTAGAATTAGACTTTTCAGATTTGTTTAGGGTGACCAGGCAAGTACATACATTGACCCAATGTCACTCTTTCTGGAAAGAAGTTGTAATGGTTTTGTATATCAGTCAAGCTGTTCAAATACTAATGCCGCCTCCATGCTTTAATCACTATTCCAGTCAGATGTCATTTTTAGAAGCCCTTGGGGATTTGCATCCCTTAATGATTCTTCAATACCCAAACCAAGCATTCTTTAATTGGTGTAAATTGAGCAGTGTTCCAGTGCAAACAAGGAGAGGGCAGACTGATCAATGATGCCGTGCATGTCTGGCTATTGGAAAGCCATCGTCATTAGATCAAGTAACAAATCCTCAACTCCATCTGCCTCTGAGGAAACACCAGCTCATGGAACCGGCAAATACTACTTCTACTTGTCATCACTATCGGAAAGCACAGGGCAAGTTGTGATCCCCAAATCTCATCTTTTAGGAAAAGGGTTAAAAGAATCCATCATAAAAACACCCTCTGTTCCAATGTCAGAAACTGTATTCTGGAGCCTTCAATGAGAATTCAACTAGAAACAGTATTTCTATCCTCTGGAGATTTGGTGTCTGTCTCTCTTTCTCTATTCGTAGATTGCAAATAGTATACAATTTTTGTTAACTTGACAAGCCATTTTTTCCCACGGTTTTTTTTTTTTGTTCCTGATGGTGCGTTATCCATCTAACCATCTGAGTGTGCTTGGGAAACATGAAACAGGTGTTCATTCCCTCCTACTTTTCGTATGATTGAAAAAACTCCAGGCACTATACTTAAGAAGCCCAGGACAAATCCTTCTCATAAATGTGTCAAGCCCACTTTTCACTCCTGTCTCTTTCCATCAGCTCTCTCAAATTGAGTACTTATTACTGGGGCGGTGGGGGGAAGAAAAGGCAGCAGCAGGCCCATCACACGCCCCTGGCTCAGGCCTGCCAACCTCCTGCTCCTTGGTCAGCAAACTGTGCTCAGATACTACGGGTCCGGTGGCGGCCTGTGTTCATTGTTAATTTATCTGGTTTTAGACAAAATGTGCTGTCTCTTGCGGGGAATCCCTCAAGTTGATTTCAGTTTGAGTTTTACAGTGGTCCAGTGCTTCAAATGAGTGGCAAGGAGGAGTAAAAGGCTATCAGCATCCTTGACAGTCTTTGCTTGGAGCCTGGATTTAGAGAGGAGCTTTGGGTGGGTAATCACACTGGGACAGCCTGTCTGCATGCAGTGTGCTATAATCCACACACATCCTCACGGAGGGTGTATTGCTTCCTTTAAGATGCTCTCGCCAAATGTTTTGAGGACCTTGGGGTAAACCTTATGGGGGTGTCTTAGACTCTGGGACTCACTTTTGGAGCCTGGCTGGAGAAATGAGACAGAATGACACCTGAGCCATCTCCCTGTGCTGGTAGGTCTCGTGGACCAGAATATCTCCCTTAGAATGAAAGCACGTTCTTGCTGAGAAGCCAAAGGGGGTCAGTATTTCTGTATCTGGATCAACTTTGACGGTGTCAAAGAGCAGACTTGAAAGGGGCTGCAGAAATGATCTGCCCCCCGACATTTCTGAGGGACCCCTGAATCTGCAGTGCTGTAGACCCTGTCCCAGCAGTCTTGTTTCTGTCACCTTTTCTCTTACAGACAGCTACCTGGCTTTCTTCAGCCCTATGGTGGGTACAGTGAACTTGGGAGCAGAATGCTTTTTTCCAATTCTGGCTTCTTCCCTGAGCAATCATGTGACCTCTCTGGGTTTCCATGTCATCATCCCTAAGTGAAGGAGTTGAATTAGATGAGCCCCTAAGACCCCTTTGAGATCTCACAGCTGAAGAGTTATTTTCTGCAGTGCCGGCTCTCATGAAAGTCAAGGGCAGGGAGCCCACCTTACGTGTCTTTGGAGCCCCTGGCCTGACTCTCATTCGTGGAAATGAGCATCTAAACCAGCACTTCCCAAACTTGAATGTGCCTGGCATCACGTAAAGAGAAGATTCTGGTTCAGTGGGTCTGGGGTGGAGGCTGGGATTCTGTTTCTCTGACGTCTCTCAGGTGATGGAGCCAGGCTGAGGCACAAAGCCTCAGACCAGAAGCTAAGTGAGACCCGAGGGCTCGTCTGCTCTGCTCAGCACTGGACCTCGGCTCAGCCTGTGTCAGAGCGCACAGCGACACGGGGTTTGGGAAAGGGAATCCTGTGGGGTGTTCAGAGAGAAGGCTGAGCCATGGGCAACGGGTGCCTTGGCCAGGTCCCATCCCCACCACCTCCCATGTTACTTCCGACGGGACTGGAAGGCTCTGGCTGCAGACCTGGCCCCTGGCCTCACCGGGCACTGTGTGCAGAGGGGACAGGAGACAGGCAGAACCTGGGGAAGGGGCCGGCGGGGAGAAGCAGCTGCCTCTGCCCCCTGAGTCCTGGCTCCTGGCCCACTGCCCAGGGCCACAGCTCTCAAGCATATGCTCGTAGGTGCTCTCCTTTCCCCTTTGGTTGGTTCCTCTTTGATGTCCATTTCAACCAGCAAATTACTTAGAGGGAGTGGAGAGTTCCACACAGTGTCACTGTGGCTCCATTGCCATTTTATGGAAGGAGCATTGGTCTGGGAGACCAAATATATGGGTGTAATTCCGGCTGGCCCACGAACCAGGGAGGGGCATGCCAGTCAAACGCCCGAGACCCTAGCGCTCTTCCCTCCCGTCCTCACCCACACGCAGACCTAGGAAAGGGGCTTTCCTAGTGCACAGTGTATTCTAATTGAGGTGAAATCATATAACATAAAATGAACCACGTGAAAGTGTGCACCTCAGCGGCGTTCAGTCCATTCACAGTGATGTACAACCACTCCTGGTCTCTAGTTTCGAAACTTTTTCATGTCCCCAGAAGAACTTACCACGCCTGTGCTTTACTCCCATTTCCCCTCCCCCCAGCCCCTGAACCACTCATCTGATTTCTATCCGTGTGGATCCCCATTCTGGGTATTTCATATAAATAGAGTCATACAGCCTGTGACATACCTTTAAAAATTTTACTTATTTATTTTTACTAGCTAGAGACATTACATTGAACATTACAACAATTAAGACTTGAAACATATAAATCCACGGTGTTTGGAACCACAGACTTCATGTGCGCATGTGGATACATGTGTGTGGCCACATATACGTGTGCATGGGTGTATGTGTGCGTGTGTGCATGCATGCATGTGTGCCTGTGAGTTTAAGGTCCCTAGAGAACCTAATAACCAGCTGAGGGTGCTACCATGCCCCAGGTCCCCTTTAAGACAGATTCAGGGAATTAATAACCCAAGTACGGACATAAGCTCTGTCTCCTGGAGGATAGACCCTTTCTATTCATAGTCCGCTTTGCCTTCTGAAGGGAAGAGCGTGGCACGTGGAGGCCAAGGGAAACCATAGATAAGTCTGATTAAAGTTGCCATTTGGCAACAAACTCTACAATCACCACTCAGCCCTTTGGAAATTCTCACCTTCCTTTCCCTGTCCTTCCAGCTCTTGTCCGCCTCTTCTCCTCCTTTGCAGTTTATTCCACCCAGTAACTCTGGCCCTGCCTACCCAGCTTTCTCTCCATCTTATTTCTCCCCTCCTGCCATCCTGTTGGTTTGCTACCGAAGGCAATGGGTATTCCCAAAGGCATGGGGTTCTTGGTCCTACTTACAAGTACAGGAGTTTATTAGAGGACGTATCGCCGGGCTTTTCTAGTTTGCTCACCCTGACCACTAAAATATTTTGAGCATCAGCTCCCAATATATACTTGCTAATCTATTATTTCTTATTTGTTGTGCCCCGCTACTGTTGCTACTAGACGATATACATTGTAAGATATACATAAAGGTGAAAATTCAAAATAATGAGAAGTTTAAAGAGACGTAGAAGTTCTAATATTTTCTCCTCACAACCCACGGGGTCCCTTTGGTGACCCGTAGACCAGAGGTGGAAAAGCCTTCTCCAGTCTAACTTTAGAGGCCCCAGGGGCACTACAAATTCCTTGCCCCTCCCGGAGACAGGTCTTCCTTCTACAGATAATCTGCCGTCCCAGCTGCCCACTGGGCTCCTGGGAATCACAGGATGGAAGTCGCTGCTGCAAGTGACCTTAGCTTTTTTCCCAGTGCAACCATCCTTGCTTTGTAAAAGAAATTACAGATTAAACAATTTTTTAAATTGTATGATTCCTTTAATTAATTATTTAAAAATTGAATCATAGTTGATTTCCAATGTTGTGTTAATTACTGCTGTGCAGGAAAGTGATTCAGTTACACACACACACACACACACACACACACACATATACACATTCTTTTCTTTAATATTCTCTTCCATTATGGTTTATCATAGGACACTGAATACAGTTCTTTGTGCTATACAGTAGGGCCTTGTTGTTTAACGATTTTTTTATTGTGGTAA